ATTGCCATTGCCATTGGGTATAAAAGAAAATGGAGGATGCATGACTCTCTTAAGATGTAAATGGGTGGAATCCATCGTTTCCATACCATAAAACAACTTTTAGGAAGTCAGCTGGCAACTCAATTTCGAATCATCAGACCCTGTAACATTCCTAGGGCAAGGAAAAATTGACAACAACCTGAGGTAAATAGTAGAGTAAAAAGTTAAAAACAAGTGGAAAGTTAGTCTAAAAGTCTCAATTCTTGACCAGCTTCTCAACAACTCCTGCAATTTAGAGTACAAGACAAAGAAAGAAACTTCAAAGCACATCTGGTTCTGGTAGAAGTAAAAAACTGGAGGTGAAATGTTTAGTCATATAAAAAGAATATTTAATTAAAAAAATGGAGGAGGGCAGGAAGGCACTAATTAAAGCCAGAAATGGCAGAAGAAAAAAGAATAAACCAAGGTCTTTGCTTGGGACCCACGTTCAAATCTGTGACAGAGACGGCAGTTTCATTGCCTCAGCTCCTCTTCTGCTGCTCAACATGCCCTTTATTTATTTAAATCTCTCTCTCTCTATTGAATTTCTTTGTTCTGCTTTCTCTCTCCACAATTTTCTTTTGTGATTATATTTTTCAAATAATATTTGTAGAGTAGTATAATAGAAAGAAAAGAAAAGATGGGAGCCTTGTTTTGTTATGGCCGTTTGTGAATTCTCTCAAAGGCACAAACAAAGTCTTCTCTTTCACACCTTTCAATCTCAAGAAAAACATGGGAAGAAGAATCTAGGGTTTGACAACACTAAGTCCAACAAGGTCTGGTTTTTTTGTTTTTGGTACTTAGTCCTTTGTTTTCTCCTAATGAGATAGCTGTTCCTGCTTTCATCCTTGTGTGGTTTTTTTCTTTCTTTCTTTCTTTCTTTGTTTTAGTCAGTTTTTACAGGCCCTGTTAAATCTGATCTTCTTCGCCTTCTCTGTTTGGGAAAAGGAAAAAAAATGGCCTTTTAAGCTAAATTTGGTTCAAATTCAGTTGAAAGAGTCCTTTTTAGGTCTTTGGGTGATCTGAAAATTGAATTTTGAGGATGGCTCTACTTTTTTTGTTAAAGATCTAATATTTTTGTAAACTTTGCTGTTTCTATGGTATTTTGGGGTTTAGGTAACTTGGGTTTGGGGAATTAGTTTTTTTTTTCTTTTGTTGTTTTGGGTTTGGGAGTACCATGGAGGAGGTTGAGGAGGCTAACAAGGTAGCAGTAGAGAGTTGCCATAGAGTTTTGAGTATTTTGTCTCAGCCTCAGGATCAGGTTCACTATAGAAATTTAATGGCTGAAACTGGGGAGGCTGTTTTTAGGTTCAAAAGAGTAGTTTCTCTTTTAAACGCTGGTTTGGGACATGCACGAGTGAAGCTAAGGAAATCACAAACCCCTTTTCCTCAGAGCATCCTTTTGGATAATCCACACCATACGGCAACTGATTATCCATCCAAGAATTTGCAGCTTGGTTACCATGAAAGCTCAGTTCAGGAATTGAGTTCACATGCTAAAAATTCTCTCTATTTAGGAAACCCATCTTTGGAGCTGAGTTCAAATGGGAAAAACCCTCTTCAAGTTGCGCAACAAGGGCCATCCGGGCACTACCTTTATCTCCAACAGCAACAGCTGCAACAAAGGTTACAGCTCCAACAGCAGCAACAGCAGCAACAGCAGCAGCAACAACAACAACAACAACAGCAAATGAAACATCAAGCTGAAATGATGTTTAGAAAGAGAAATAGTGGCATTAACTTGAATTTTGATAGCTCTAGTTGCACACCTACCATGTCATCGACTAGGTCATTCATTTCATCCTTGAGTATAGATGGTAGTGTAGCTAACTTGGATGGTGGGAGTGCCTTCCATATAATTGGGGCGCCTCGATCCTCAGATCAGGGTTCCCAACCGAAGAAGAAGTGTTCTGCTAGGGGAGAAGATGGGAGTGTCAAATGTGGAAGTAGTGGTAGATGCCACTGCTCGAAAAAGAGGTTAGATTCTCTTTCTCCCTCTTTAGTATCTCTATGGAATTATGCCCTTCATATTAATTCTTATAATTGCCTTTTTTTCCTTTTATGGAGAAGGGGATTGATCTAGTTTTAAACTTTTTGCCTTAATTGCTTGCACTGGGTTGGCAGGAAACATAGAGTAAAGAGATCAATCAAGGTGCCTGCTATCAGTAGCAAGCTTGCTGATATTCCTCCTGATGATTATTCTTGGAGGAAATATGGGCAGAAGCCAATCAAGGGTTCTCCTCACCCTAGGTAATGGTCATCATCTTTTTTATGTATCAGACTTAGGTGTGACATATTGTTTGTGAAATTTGGTGTTTGCTTGTGAGGATTTACAAATTTACGTGCGTACAGGAATTTTTAAATTGAAACTTCGTGAACTCAATCATCTTAGTGTCTGTTATCTGATTATTACTTCCATTAGGAGAAAGTGTTGCAGATTTGAAGTTGATAGAAGAAGAACATTTTCCCACTTCTTTTTAGGAAACATTGTTGCAAAACAATCATTTTATTATGTAAACCAAAGTGATGTCAGCTACTCTCCATTAGATAGTAATAGTTCATAACTATGCTTTTACTGCATTGAAGGAGTGCCTTAGTCCCGTGATATTAGAAGGAAACTATCAAGCGTTGAAAAATTTTGACCCATGGTGAGGTGAAAGTTAGATGATACTGAGAGGATGAAGAGGACTTAACCTCTTCCTTTCTTCTAACAAGCATACCACATAGTGTTTAAGATTTTGATTCTCTTTTAATCTTTCTTCGCAGCAGGGCCAAAGCTGAAGTAATTAGTATTAATTGAAGTGGAGATGCACCTACTCTTTTATTTTTTTAGTGTTTAAAGAAAGCTTGTGAATTTGATTTGCATTTAGTGGAATCCTGTCTCAGTTGATCAACTTAGGAGGCTTTTTCTTTTAAACCGGTGCAGGGGATATTATAAATGTAGCAGCATGAGAGGTTGCCCTGCAAGGAAACATGTGGAGAGGTGCTTGGAAGAGCCATCCATGCTTATTGTTACCTATGAAGGTGAGCATAACCACCCATGGTTACCATCACAATCAACAGCATAGATCTCAGTGGAAACTTTTGTAAGATCGCTTCAAGCCTTTGGATGTTCAATCGGTTACCATTTTAATGGTTGGCTTGACTTGCTCCTGTACATATTTTGCATGGTTAAAGCGTGGGATATATCGGAGCAGTTTCTTTTGCTTTTTCTTTCTCTTTTTTAAGGCTTCGGAGGGTTGGCTTTCCAAGCCTTTTTAACAATTTGGCAGCCGGCATTAAGCCTAGTGCTGGACCAAAAGAAATTGTAGAATTGGGGTTTAAACTGTAAGAACTCTTCCATCTTTCATGGCAATCAATGCTTGAAAGGAGTTGAACTTTTTGATTTCAATGAAATGCCATTAGTGCTGCACAAGGTGGTGTTGGTGTTGGAGGTTGTGGGGCTGCATATCTTTTGTCTGTAACACGCCTTTAATTGGAATTTATTCTACAAGAGGCTTGCTTGCTAATAAATGGGGGGCGTGTCTACGCGTTAAAATCTTTGGAATCAAACTAAAATTGTCAAAATTTTGTCCAAATATGAAGTTTTGGTTACAATTTTAGTTTTGGTGACAATTCTGCAGCCCTTCCAATCAACAGGATTTGCATGTACAGCTGGAAACTCTGAAATGATATGTGACCAGTGTCCGAAAGTGCTGAGTTAGAATCCAATTATGTATTGTGGTATGGTTCTGAGCTTGTTGAACCAATCGGTTTCAGCTTTCCTTTTCTTGTTTGTTTCCTCTGCCGTGAAGAATTATTGAAGTCAAATTCTAGCGAGCCCTTGCAACAAGGCATGTGAGTCATGTACGGCTAACCAACATGGACAACATGCCTTGACACATTGCATTCACATTCTTCTTCCTTTGTCATTACTCAGTTCCAAACGAAGAATGGAAACTCTCACTGACCTCCCTTGTTCTCAACTTTGTTTCAAGTACTGGCCGTGGCACAATAGTACAATTTCCATTGCATTCTAAAATATGGGATTAATTATATTATTATATAGTTTGGAGAATCTTAATTTGAATGGATTGAAAGGCTTATAGAAGATGGAAGTCAAAAGTCTCACCTTAGGTTGAACTTGGTTAAGGACTCGATGTGTCAAACACTCATAATGATTGCAGCAACCTTAGGAACTAAGTAAGATAAGCTTAGAAGGTAATGAGTTGGTTGTTGACTGGGATCTCCAATCAGAAGAGTCAACCTGTTAAGTAATTACATGATGACGTAAGGAATGTGAAATAAATAGATGTTTATCAAGTTTGGCTCTCGGCAAGTAGGCTTTCGTAGTGTATTTGGGTACAAAGATTGCACTGAACAGCATAGAACATCTTCAATTTGTAATGAATTTGTGTTGTTACAAGAGTTCCCAATTTCCACTTCAAGAACAATAAAACTAGGTTTAGGGTTGATAGTTAACACTACACAAGTATGATTTTAGGGTGAGTCGAGATAGTTAATTTGTATTATCCGTTGTGTAATTAAATTGAATGTGTTACAAGAGTGATTGTAGCATAAAAGCCTCTTTGGTCTGCACGGGTCAACATCTCCTGCGCGTTGGCTGTTTTGGTGCTGTGACATCTCTTCTACTGGGGTTATGATTTTAACTTAATAATATTAATAATAGATTTTCTTTTTCTCAACTCCCGTGAGATTAGATTTGATAATAGACATTTTCACGCCACTCTTCCAGCAAATCAGGTTTTATTCAATGTCAAATGTAAAGTGATACTTAAAAATTCATCGGAATGCCACTTTGAATGTTGAATATATCCGTCGCCCGACTTATGTCTCTCTTCACTGTTGATTTGGATTATCCTTGGATTGATTTTCAAAAGATTCTTATTGTTTCTTTAAACGTTATTCCCCTTTATATTATTCGCTTTCATGATGCTTTTGTGCAGATGGTGCCTTCCTAGTACTTATTTCATTCACGTTTATTTGAAGAATATGCAATATTTTATAAAATTTTAAAAAGACAACCAAAAAAAAAAATACGCTTAATTTTCGCTTGAGTATATTTGGGGGTGCGGAGGAAACAAACGCAAACGTTACTAAGTCTTGTTCTAACTTGACTACTCACCGTCAGAAAAGTAGCAGCACTAAACACACTGATCAAAATTAAATTAACAAAACACCATTCCAATAAGGCCAAGAATGAAGGCACATGCAGAATCTTCACTTGAGTGGAATAAACCTGGAGGAATGGGTGGCACCAATACCAGGCCTCCCGTGCTTCACAGGCTTGTAGCTGATGGAGAATTCAGCCAAATAATGGCCTATCATTTCAGGCTTGATTTCCACTTGATTGAAGGTCTTCCCATTGTAAACACCAATAATACTACCAATCATTTCGGGAACTATAATCATGTTGCGTAGGTGTGTCCTTACAGGCTCAGGTTTCTCACCGGGTGGGGCCTCCCGTTTCTATTTCAAGACAGCAGAATAACATTTCAGTGTATGGTGCTATGCACATTCACTTTGGTCATCAAACTTTCATTGCCAGGGAAGAAAACAGTTCAAGCAAAGTTTTATTGTAAATCACACAACATTAAGAAATCTTGATTGACAGCATATAGTGCTATCTACATTCACAGGCAACAAAACTGCAGCCAAAAATCTTCATGCGACAAAGATGGTAAAGATGATGGTGCACAGTAACTAAAGAAAGGGCATAGGAAATGGAAAGATAACAATGAAATGATTTTTAAAAATAACATGTGATATCAAAACATGGCAATCAATAACTGCTACCAATATAACTGCATCACACTTTTAGTATCTAGTCAATTTCCATGCATAGCCAATGGAGGTTCAGATCCGTCATCAGCATATCAAAAAAAAAGAAAAGGGGGGTGGTGGGGTGTAAAGGGTGGCAAAGCCAAATTAATATCATTGCTTGTTTCTGAGAGGACTAGAACTGCAGGACACTAAAAATATGTCCCAAAACCAGATCAGTATAATTCCTACCACACTCAATTTATTTGTGCAATGAATAACACCATCGAACTTTTCACAGACTCAGTAAAATGTTGTAATGCCATTTACCAACACTTCCTTCAATATCTCATCTTAGGTATCAACTTCATAGCAACTCTTTTAACCAAAGAAAGAGGGGGAAAATGAAAATTGAGCTTTTCAGTGGTTTGATAATTAGCCCACAGCAATGTTTCGAAAAACAGAGGCACAAAAATTGCGATGCTTCATACTACACTCATTGCTAAGGGTGGAAATGTCATCATATTGTAGAGGTAACTTTACATTTCCTCATCAAAAGATTGAATTGAAACTCAATAAGACCAATACTACCCTCTTATAGCTAGCAGGCTTTTTCTTGTGTTAATTGATTTCTCTAATAGTAACCGTAAATCACCACCAACATCTAAAACAGTCACATGTTTTCCTTCCCAACAACAATAAATTCACAGCCATTTAACAACCCTAGGTTATTCATTCCTTTGCCTGGTTTAAATAGTGGAAGAAGCTTTGCAAGACCCCGTTTTCCATACTGATATCACGATCAATCAAACCATCCCTTTAGTTAATATAGTTATGAAGATCAACTCAATGTTCTAACAGAATAATCATCAACCATTTACAAATAACTTCTCCCAACAAGTGAACATGCAAAAATATTATATTGAAAAGATGACATAACCAGTTTCCCAATCTGACTGCTTGCGAAACACCAAAATCTATCATGCATACACATCAAGACAAAGAAACTAGAGGAGAAAAACAATTGGTGCATTGATAAACTATAAGGCAATATGTTACCAAACAGAGTTGAGTACAACAAAACTCGTTTAGATGTGCAATCTAAACAGAGTGAAGATAAAGCATCTAATAAGAATTCTAAAACCTTAGATATCATCAATAAGATTTTGCTATATCTAGTTAATCTTATGGAAGAACAAAACAACCAATTGCAACACTATATTACAGAAAGAATAGGAAACAATTATCCAAAATCATAAGCATTTCGCGTTTCTAATGATAAACATCAGAACAGCAATAGAGCAAGTGCAAATCCACACAGAAAAAGAAAATCTCATAAGAATAGTTTAATTCCTCATACAGTCGAAACGATGGATAAAAAACACTCACCGCCTTACGCAATTTCTTGATCAGAGCCATTGGCTTTCTCTTTAAACCTCTCTGAAACCTAAAAAGAAAAATGATAACTATCTTATTTTACAATTCAAAGGCAATAAAAACAAGCTTAAAGAAGAAAGGAAAATCTAATAGGGATGATAGTGAGATGTGACCTTCGGCGAGCACGAGCGGGGAAGAGCTTGACGAGCTCATCAGTGGACATATCCAAGAGAGCGTCGAGATCGACACCTCTGAAACTGAACTTCTTGAATGTTCTCTTCTTCGGTATCCCTGGCGCAGCAACATCGGCTTCCACATCCGCCTAATTAAAAATGAACCCAAAAACAGAGAAAGAGAGAAAAAAATCGATATTGTTAAGACAGCATTTGGATCCTGAGAAATTGAAGGAAATGAACTGGAAAATGCAGTGAAATTGAAAGTAAAGAGAGATAAGTAGAGTGAGAGATGATAGCAAGACCATGGCTAGAGACGAAGCAGTAAACAGCACAAAAATTCCTAAGCCGCGGGAGCGAGGGAGAGAGAGTCTGCAGATTTTAGGGTTTGGGGATTGCAGTGTGAAATTTATAGTATAACCGAAATGGAAATGGGCATTTTATTCGAGTCACCCGGATTGGATCCGAATGGGTTAAGATCGACCAATTTTCCTCTTTTACCCTTAACCCCGGCCGATCTTTTGTTTTGATTCATTTTTTAAAATGAGTTTTCTTAAGCTTTGACAGGATAATGACGATATCAAGATTTATAAATATTTAAAGTAATTAATTAATAATTTAAAGATTATAATTAAAAAAATATTATTCAACTTTTAATAGTTAAAGTATTTATTATGAATATTATTTAATCTTAATAAATATTTTCAAGTTACAGTGTTACAAACTTTAATACAAATCTCTTCATTTAGAAAGTACAGTGAAACATTTAATTACTATAATATGGATTAATATTATTTCAATTTTTCGAAACTATGAATTAATATTTCTTAGCACAAAATAAACTTTGGGTTAATATATATATTTTTTTAAAAAGTAAAATCTACAAACATGCATAAATTTTGATAATATAGTTATGCATACCCGTAAATTTTAATCTTCCAATTTCTTTATTGAAATTGCAGTCATTAAGTTATATCTCAAAAAAAAAAAATTGCTAAAGTGATTGCATCTATTTGATGAATTTAAACTTCAAATAACAATAACTATTCAATAAATACTACAAACCCCTTAATTACCACAATTAGTTCTCCTTTTGTAATTTTAAGTGCAAAAATTTCTTTTTTTTGGACACTATGTAATCATCTTTAGAAAAAGTGATATGTGCTATTTCGTTTGAATTTAGAAAGTACCTAATAACAAGGGAATGTAATCAAAATAATAGGCATAAAGTGATATAGGTTATTTTGATTAATAAAATAAATACATTTATAATAACTTGGAAAAAATTGATCTTTTGTGGTAATTTAAAATTCAATATTTTACATAGAAATTTTCTTACACGTTATTAGGAGAACCTCTATACATAATTATAAACCAGCACTTCTTATTTGACAACTTTGTTTTTTTATAATATATAAAAAAATTATTTTTATGTAAAGTAAATCATATAGATCCCAACCATAATTTATTTAATTTTTCTTTTTTACTTGGCATTTCATTTCATTTCTAGTCAACAAAAATCACGCACAGGCCAATCTTGGATGATTGGTCTAGGAAAATAGTGTGGCTTAGGAAAGATGCAATAGAGGGAGATCAGATGGTAGTCCACCATAATCCCTCATTTAAAGATGTATTAATGTCCTCGGATGGTGATGATTTATTTTCAGATGAATGTATGGGGTAAAGGATGATTTAGGAGACGAGGATAGCAATGTTGTTGAATTTGAAAATGAATCTTTTGAGGTAGACAAGGATAATACAGAGGATTTTTATTTTAAGACAATTAATGGGGTGCCTTCCATAAAGATCTTGAATTGTAAGCAAGTTGAGCTTTCTAAGAGATGGAATTGGTTGATTATATTATGTTTTTTAGGGCATCCCATCTTTTACAAATTGCTTTGTGATAAAATAGTTATGTTATGGTAGTCTAAGGGCAAATTCAATGTTGTTGATCTTGATGAAGAAAATTATTTGATTAAATTCTCTATGGAAAAGGATTGTCTCAAAGCATTGTTGGATGGTCCATGGATGATTCGAGACCATTATTTGTTGGTGAAGCCTTAGTCACCATCCTTTTCTTGAGAATCATAGGATCTAGTTGCGGTTGCAGCTTGGGTTAAGTTTCCAAGGATGCCACTGCATTTGTATTATAAATCTATTTTGAGACGAATTGCCTTTCTCTTGGGTAATTTATTGAAGATAGATTATAAAATGGATTCTGAAAAAAAGGGGGAAGTTTGATGTATTGCAATAAAACTTGATCTGTTGAAATTGCTGCTCCCTAGATTCTTCCTTAATGAAAAGTTACGAAAAATTGAATATAAGGGTTTACTTAGGGTTTGTTTCAATTATGGGGTTTGTGGACATGTTAAGGAGACTTGCCCTAGGCAAACGATGGAATTTAATGCAATCACACAAAATGTAAACATCATGGACAAATCTCAATTCGAGCCCTCACCCTTCAGTTCATGGATGTTGGTATCATGTAGAAAATTATGGAGTGGGGAGGTTAATCAAGGATTGGCATGAGACATGAATGGTGGTAAACGTGTTCATCAAGGATCTCGGTTTGTTGCTTTAAAAGTAGAACAGAAAGGGGGTTTAGTTCCAAATAATTGGATAGTGGAGAAAGGTGAGGCTTCGAATCAAGGTAAGCTAGTTAAGTTAAATACTTTGTTGGCGAACAAGAAGGAGGATTTTCACTATCAAAACAAAAGCCTTTGTAAGGCTTCTAAATCCAATGATAATCATAATATGGAAACCACTTTTAAGGGTCCTTGGCCTATTTTTAATGAAATATCTAACAAGAAGATGAGTGATTCTACGATTACTGAAGGTGAGATGGTGATTGATGATTATAATAAAAAGGAAGCAAGAACAATCATGGTTGTGACAGGTGAGATGCCTAATTTAGCATTTAAAAATGATGAAACTAGTCCTATGAATGAATCTAGTCTACAATCATGTGAGTAAAGAATTGTTCCTCAAGCTATATCACTCGACCCTTGTTCCTCAAGCTATATCACTCGACCCTTTAAAACATTCAGTAGTTAGAATAGTTGAAGAGCTGAAATCTAAGGGAAACTCTTTTAAATTGCTATCAAATCGCATTTCAAGTCTGACAACTGAATGTATGGGGGCTATTAAATTGCATGGAGAAAGAAAGTTGCTAGATAAGAAAGGAGTGGTTTGAGTCAACAAATCTCTGTTAAGAAAGAAGATGAAACCATAAGTGTGAAGTCTAATGAGCAGAAAAATCAGATTCCTAATGTTTTGTCGAAGGAGAAAGCTCAGTTGAGAAATGTTGTGGCTAATTTAATAGTTGAAATGGAGAGTACTACTACATGCATGTTGGAGACGAAAACCACTATGTTGGTTGATGGATCAAATAATGACTTGTAAGTCATTTTCCTTTTATTATGATTTTATTTAATGAATTTTTGAACTCTTGTATAAAATTATCAGGGAGCAAGAGATAGAAACTTTGTTAGAATCATGCATGATTTCATCAAGTAGTTCAAGTTGAGTATGGTGGCTTAGGTGGAGCCGTGTATTAGTGGTGTTTCTGCTGATAGAGTTATTAAAAATGTTAGTGTAGTAAGCTCATTGTGAGAAATACTAAGAGAGGGGTGAATTGATATTTTAAGATTTTTTTTGCAAGCTTAATGAAAAATAACCTCTTTTTGAAAAACAATTTTTCTTCTTGTGTAAAAAACGAACCAAGTGATTTTTTTAATGCAAATATCAACAATAAACCACAAGGCATAAAAATAAATCAAGACATAAGAAGTTTATAGTGATTTGGCTTTTTCAAATGCCTACATCCACTCCCTTGACTCACCAAGGAATTTTCAATCCACTAAAAAGATTCTTGCTTTTTAACAGGATCAAGTGATTACTTTTACACAATGCAAAAAGGGATTCTTGCTTTTTAATAGATCAAGCGATAACCCTTACATCGATTTTTTTACAAGATCAAGTGATAACTCTTACACAATCCATAAAGGGATTTTTTTCTTTTTAATGAGATCAAGTGATAACCCTTACACTAACTTTTCAAGGTTACATTAGAATTGTTACAAATATGTGTACAAAGGAGTAATAGCAAAGATTTACCTCACAAAAGTTGAGTGCTAAAGGTTTAAGCTTGGATATGAAGAGAAGAAATAATCTCATAAATATTAGCTACAAGTGAGAGAGCTTGAATGGCTTTAAGTGCTTGTTGGAAGACTAAGATGAATGCTAGAAAAGAAAGAAAGCTTGATGGTCTCTCTAGAGTTTTTTCACTTTGGCATTGTATTATCTTACTTCTAAATGTGTTAAGGGTGGCCTTTTATAGTCATAAGGATGTTTGAAGCCATTAAACAAAAGTTTAAAATAAATTTGGCCATTGCTGAAGCTTGAGGGTTCACTGTGGTTATTCAAAATCATGGATTAGGGCTTTTATACTCGATTCTTGAAGTCTGACACTCGATCTTTTTCTAAAAGCTCGTGATTTCGAAGTTTGCCCAAGTGTAGTCGACTATGATGCCTTCAGGGTCGACTATGTCTCTTTAAAACTTTTAATTTCTCAAGTGTTCTGTGTTAGGATCAACTATAGCCTCTTTAAGGTTGACCGTGGTTGTCCAAACTTGAATTGTGCTCGCAATCTATCTTAGGGTTGACTATGGATCTTATAGGATCGACTATGGCTATGTCTTTATGATTTTTCATCTTTTCTACCATAAGGTTGACTATGAAGCTCGTAAGGTCAACTATGTCTTTTGTTTTTCACAATCCTTTAATTGTTCATCAACCATTCTGCCATAAGGTCGATTAATGCTTTTTAAGGATTAACTTGTGACTTGTGTCTTCAAGATTCCTTAACTTTTTGGCTTTTTACTTTAGCTATTTCTTTCATGCTTCTTTCTTATAATCAAGTGTTAATCAAAAGTACGTTTGCTCAATATTTACTTAACCGAAGACTTAATGCTTTGTGATATTTTCTAATCATGAATTTGTTTCTCAAATATTTGTATAATCTTAAGAGTATCAAAATAAGATATTAGACAATTTCAAATGCTTAAGATCAAATTTAAGATATCATACAATTTTGTCAAAGCAAAACATAAGATATTCGATGCTAACAATTTTTCCTTTTTTAATATGATAAAATCAGAAGCATATTTGCATTTGAAATCTCTTGAAAACTCTCCCTTTAACTCCATTAGTCTCTAAGCCCTTGTTTGAAAACTTTTAACTTCAATAGAAAAGGGTTTTGAAAACTGATATGAAGTCTATACTCTCCCCATTAATACATGCATGAAGTTTCAAGAAGTTGTAAAAAAGTTTCAGCTTTATCAACAGTTACAGAAGCATTTCAATGTGCTCATAAACCTTCTCTCCCTTTTTGTTAAATTAAAAAGGAATAAAAGCATGAGCTTT